GCACAGAAACCAGATCCCTGAACAAGTCCTTTTGGAGAGCTGTTCGAATAGACAACGTCGTGTACCAGTTGGTTTCATAGGGGTTCATCCGTCCCAGCTGGTGCTGAGTTTTGTCCACTGTAGCTTTAAACCCAAACCTCTTCTGACTGGGTGGTCTCCTTTGTCTCCACCTGTGGTCTAGTTGGCACCCACACACCAACCAAAAAAACAAACAAACGTGACAAACATGACAAACAACCCAACAAGCCAGCCAACAAACCGCCGAAGCACCCACCCACTCACCTACTTCCAACCAAAAACACACACACACACAAAACAAAAAACGGAGTGTCGGCTCGGCTACCTGACCACGCAAAGGTGTATGTTTGACCTCGCCACCCTCAACCCCCTAAAAAAGAAACAACATAAGCTCAGGTGATATCCCCAACAGCATGCGGTGCTCTTTTTAGTGCTCGCACCACCCCACAGCCCTCGCAGAACCTCGTGGAACCCTGGTGGAACCCTGGTGGAACTCTGGTGGAACCGTCGTGGAACCTTACCTCAGGGCCGCCCCGGACCACCCCGGAGCCTATCTGGGCTGAGACCCCAAAGCTTTCAGCTGTTGGGGAAAAACACATTGGAGCCAGAATCGGCACCAACAAAAGCTACACCAAAACCCATGGAAATTATATCAAAGGCCGATATCCGCATCCACATATCCACCGCTACACTAATTCTGCTCGAAATTCAGAATTGGATCCTCAAGGACCTGCTTGAGGTTTGGCTCTTTCCGAGCAGATTGGCAATGGGGCCTGTCCCTGAACCTTCACATCCCTCAATCCCCAGAGGAAAAAAACTGCGGCGGCTTGGGATTTGCCAACAAAAATCAAAAGTTCATTTCGGTACAACCCTTGGTGGCAACAACCTAGCTTTTCGTAGCCCCCTACTGAAAATGAACAGAACCACTAGGAGCCGGCCGAGCCACGGTCAAGCTGCCCATTCCAGAGCCCTTCATGTGGTACCTGCGGCGTCCGCAAGTCACCACGCCAAACTCGCGGTTCATGAAAGGTCGTATTGTCAGACCAGTTGGGTGAATTTGAGGTGTCTCATCGCGGGGGCATGAAACGAAAAACAAGCACGCCCAACCTAATTGGCAACCATTGGCTTCTTTTGGCAAAAATGGAATTCTTGATGATCGTTTTGTTCAACCAAGGTGAAAAGGCCTGCCAAAACCAATTTATCTTACCCTCCTGTCCACATGGAACCCGCCAGGATAATTCACTTTTGGAGGGACGCATTCCCTAATCCACGCTTTCATGGGCAACCCCAGGCCCTTGGGACACAAGAACCTTGGACCATGCCCTTTGGTACTTGTTTGGTGACGCTGGGGTAGGATTCGGCCGCGTGTGTAGGCTAAATCCTACTGAGCTTTAACACTTCCTGCTCGGGTGGTCGTCCAAGTAGAGCCGGTTCATGGTTGTGGGACATATACTTGTCCGTGATACGGGTTGAAAATCGCAAGCCTCGTCCATGACTTCAACACTTTCGATCGGGGATGCCCTGGCCACTCACGTCTGCAAATTTACAATGTCTGCCAGACATCATGCCCTGCCAGTGATAAGGGG